TTTTCATGCGTTCTACACGTAGTGTTGAACCCCGTGTTACACTGCCCGCCGGACAAAAAAAAATGATGTACCACCTATGATACAATAATGCGTTTGGACGTGGTGTGGTCTGTCTGCACAGAAAAAACAGGTCTTGACCACAGAAGGCTCGGTAAAACCGTTGGATAATCAACGGCCATTTCATGTGTTTCATGCGGATACTGCTGCACACAAATAAACCACGAGGAGTGGAACAGTATACACGGCTTTACAGCGCATAATGAGTGTACAGCGTGAACATCGAAGCTCTTTATTCGATATAGTGGCACTATTGCCACTATCGACTGTCTAATAGTGGCAATTGTGCCACTATATCGAATAGTGGCACTGCCCTGAACAGTGGCACAATTCTGTCTGGCCACTATATGCCACTATCGGGCCACCTACTGTAGTACACTCTTTATCCGCATCGTGGAAGACCCCTTCGAAGTGGAACGATTCCTAATCAGTGTCGATTATTTACACTGCCGTGTCCAACACAGATGATCAGGGGTAGATTCGGTGATTGTCAATTGCAATGATGGCTTTGGTTGGTTGTTCTTTTTCACTGTATGTCCACGGACGCATTCTGACAGCACTTCAGACAGCAGTTGCGCGCCCCGAACTTGTACCATGCCTACCATGGTGTTATGTACAGGCAGCACTCCAGACAGCTGTACGCTGGAGTCGGCATTCATCTTGGTGAAGTGTAGGACAGGGGGGCTGATGCTGCTGTAGTCGAATGTAGTGTGTGGACGGGTAGTTCAGTTTTTGGGCACGCAAACGTGCTGCAGGGATGTAGGTGCACCTCTTCGGGCTGGTGTACACCCTTTTCTTCCTAGTTTGCGTGTTCTTTGGATCTTCTGATGGCTCTAGCATTTTTGTGATCACAGACCGCGTCTTTGCTAGATGTTGGGATTACAGCAACTGACACGAGTTTAATTGAAGACAACAGCAACAACAACAACAATCCATACAAGGGAATTTATCCCGAGTGGGCTCATCAGACATCTTTCGAACGATTCCCGTCTCCCGCATCCAATTTTGGCGAAATTTTGGTGGTTTACTTTCCCGTTCCGGTTGGGTGAATAGATTCGGGAATCCCCATGGTGGTTTCAAACTAGCCCTCCCGCCTTTTTTCGGATTTTCACGGACGAATGCCAACCGCCGTTCCGCTCTTTGCTACTTTTTTTCTGGTGGTGCACAAACAAACGCGAGAACGCCCGGCTACTCAAGGCTACAGTACTTCGTACTCGCATGCCCAGAAAGAAGCTGCTCTGCTGTAGTATTACAAGATCCTGCATGGAGCGCTTACGAAGATAGATCTTCACAACACAAGAAACATGATAAAGCCCAACCAGGCCAGGATGTTTATTATGGGGGGTGTTTGATTTAATTAATTGGTTTTAGGTTTGGGGAATGTTTTTGGTTTTGGGCAGGCAATATCCACGCGCAAGCGCACGCGCCGTTGTCTCGTTCGCGTCGGGTACAAAAAACAGAGCTCTTCTGCTGCTGCTGCGTGTGTGTACACAAGCAAGCTGTTGTGGCAATGGGTTGAGTCAGGGCACACAGCTTTGGATTTCTCACTCGGCAGACCACCTTTCGAGCTGAAAACTTCTAGGACATGGCATCCGAAAACTGCTCGGACATGGCATCCTACCACTGCTCTCTATCCATTGAGCGTACAGGGGCAGTGGTGTGCTGATAAAACGACAAGGAGCAGAAGCAGCAGCAGGAGCGGCAAAATAAATCCGTTGCGAAGTCCGGCTCTCTCTGGCTCTTCCCTTGTCTTCCCCAAAGTGGTTCTTCGACTTCGAGCTACAGCAGTAGACTACACGCAGCAACACCGCACAAAGGCCCAGAGTGAAGGACCACGCTGCGCCCAGTTGATCGAATTCGCACACGCATGCCCACGCTCCACCGAATAATGGAATGGAGTGAACAAAGTAATGCACACTCCAACAGGTTCGAGCTTGAAAGGTGTCCTGGGAAGTGCATTTCAGGTATGTGTACATTGATCGTAGGTGTGTGTGTATTTCAGAGCCTTGGTTACCATTTGATAGTAACTCTTTAGGACTAACCGATGTTGAACGTAGCAAGCCTAGGTTCTTCACGCGAGCAAGGCTAGGTTGCTCACCCCACATCTACCCTAACCCTATCCCTAACCCTCACCCTCACCCACGGCTAAAGCACGGCCTAGCGGCCGCGAACTGGGCGGCACGCGGCTGCGCCGCGTGCTCGGAATGCGGAACGGGGAGAGGGCGCTGGAGAGGAATCGGCCGCCAGAACCAACGCCCAACATCGCCCGACCAATCATGACGCGTTGGTCCTAAAGATCTACTATATATCAATGTGTAAACACTACTCGTATTTCAGGTCTTCTTGGAAAAAAGAAGTAATTGATGCCGCAGATGCATGCATCTTGCGCCTCAGCGCACTACATAGGTGTCCACCCGCGCCCCGCACAGTCACATAGTACAACATGGTGCCTGTCGTGCGGCTGGTGATATCGGCTGTATGCCCGTCTTGCGTTCCCTGAGACTTGGTGTGGCAAACAGAGGGTGGGTTGTTGTTGTAGTTGTGTGCAAAAAAAAGCGGTGTGTTTGCTTCCTGTCTGCGACCGACAGTTCTACCGCGGGAATTTCTGATATGGGGCAAAAAAAGCACCGTATGAAAACACGCGGGAATTGACTCTTTACACGAAAACACACGCCAGAACGACGGGATTCCCGCGTCTAAAAAACGAATAGCCCGCCACCGCTTTCAAACTCAAAAGGCGGGAATTCCCGCATATTTCTGGATTTTCACGTGCTAACCCGCATGCTGGAAGCGGGAATCCGAGTTTGAAAGATGTCTTCTATCATGGGGGTATTGGTCATCACATCAAAGATGCTTAAAATATTTAATAGGCAGGCAACTGGACCCGCCCCCACCCAGCCGCTGGACCTGCCGGCAGCCGGTGACGTTTCTCAAGGTTTAACATTTAACACCTCACACAGCTGACGAATTTTGGCCCGAAGAGCACGGCGAACCTCGAAGAACCATCGAAAGAGAAGAAAGTCGCAAACCTACATGCAGAAAAAATACAGCAGTTTTGGTGTACGCGTTTCTACGTAAGCATTTGGCCGGCGTAGTATGCATGCTTCATGGCAGTGGTATATTTGCTTCTTTTTTGTTGCGAGTGATAATCCCTCCGGAGTAGTAGGCTCGTGAGAGGACAGCAGTCGCATCAAGAGGTGATGCAAGATTGCACTAAAAACTACCCAACCTCTTCCCTCTACACCTTCCCAGCATAACATACAGATAGATGCACAAGATGGCTACCAAACTGTCTTGTTGACCCTGTTACCCACGGGGGAGATATCACTGGTTCTGCTCGGGAAATCGTGGAAAAGCAGAATTTTCGCTGATGCTATGGGCTCATGTGAATGAAGTAAATAAAAAAAAAATCTGAATACTGCTCGGGAAATCGTGGAAATAGAGATGGATTCGTTGTGTCATACATTACGAAAACAACAAGAAAGAAACATCGAAAAACAAATCTACAAAATAGTAGTCTAATGGTTGGTTCTCGGGAACCTTGTATGCGTTGCATGGTACTTATATCCTTCGCCCCACCCGAAGCTGTTGGAACTATACAATTTTCCCAACATACGCATACAGTGCATGCCCTGCCAAAACCAAAAAATGGTTTAATACCTTCCAGATCAGGCTCCGGAAAGTGGAGTCTCAATGTTTTTCGAACACAAAAGGGCCCTAGTGTGTTTTGAACACAGGGGGTGATGCTGCACGAAAGAAGAAACATACCTGGTAATCGTATGCATTGGTCATTGGGCACGTTGTAGACGGGGAATTTTGTACGGTTGGAAAAGCACGCCCGCCCATATAGCTATTGTAGACAAAGCAGTGGTCGGGAAAGGTCTTCTAGGAGACGGCGCAAGTATTCTCTGGTACTTTTCATGGCCATGAAGCTGAATGGTACCTGGTACATAGAGATAGCGGTGCAATTTTGTAGCGACGCTTTCTCCACCCTTTTCCACGTCTGACAGCGGTAGTGCCAGCAGCTTGGCGAAGGGGACTAATTCGCAGTACCGCGTGCATGTTATGCATACTCACTAGGCAAAGAGCCAAAATATCGAAAATGGAAATACACAGACGCCCGGAAATTGGGCACCCGCTGCTGCTGCTGCTGCTGCTGCTGCTGCTGCTGCTGTTTTTCCATAAGTGAATTGTGACATGCCATTCGGCCGTGAAGACAAAATCAGCACACTGCTGTCATCCCAGATGAAGACAGACCGAAACGTGAACTGTATCATCGTCTCGTATTCCAACAACGTGAATAGGAGCGGTTGCAGACTGAACCACGCCACCAGAAACCAACCATTGGGGAAACAAGAGACAGACGCGACCTACCCAGCGCACAGCGAAGAGCGAGAGCAACAATCGTAGCCCTCGCGGATGCTGCATGAAGTAAGATCCATAACACGGTGCTGGTCTGGCCGGTTCCGCCCAGTTTGCGTACCTGTTTGTACTTCCTACTGTATGGCACGTCCCCTGTTTTTTTTTCACGATCCGCAGTAGAGACGAATTGCTCTCAAGTGCCCGGATTGCTTGACTCCCGCCCTCAAAGATGCTGACGGTAACCCGCACCCTCGCCACGACGCGATATTCCCGTTCCTGTCTTTGGATCCCTGTGACAGCAGCCGCAGGGAGGGGTGGGCTCTGAGAACGGCGTCCGCGAGGGAAGCCGCAAGGTGCCCAAGGTGGGCGACGCAGTTTCCCCGTCATCCCCCTCTGCCACTGCAGAAGGCGGGTCGGCAAGGGCGCGCCGGGACCACCCGCCGCCCCCCGCGTGCTGGGAGGGGGGCGCCGTCCCGCGGGAGCGCTACTACCCCCCACCCCACCAGCCCCCGCGTGCTGCTCATCACCAAACTGCCTACGCGGATCCCTACTACTACTCCGGGGCGGATCATCCCCGGGAAATGGTCGAGAGGCTTGGCGGTGCCCCTATCGCCAATGCCGCCGCCGCCGCCGGTGGCCGGGTCGGCACGGCCCGCGGCAACGGCGGTGGCTTCCCGCCACACCCCGCGGACGAGGATGTTGTGGACGACGGCGGCGTCTTCCCGCATTATTCTGCGCGCGCGGCCGCGGGTAGGCGTGACGGAGGCGGCGGAGGCGGCGGCGGCGGAGGGGGGCGGAGCGGAGGTGGCCCTCAGGAGTGGTCCCGGCAACAGCGGCACGCTCAACAGCAGGAGCTGCACCCCGCCCGCGGCAGGGCCGGGTCTGCCTCCGACGGCCAGGTCGCGGCACCGTCGAGGCCACCAATGCCCGGGGCAGGTGCCACCCCTGCCGCAGCCTCGGTGGCGGAGCAGTTTGGGGGAGTAGGGGACGGAAGAGGACCGGGCAGATCGCGCGGCGTCGCCGACGCTGTAGATTACTACGACCACGACCACCCTTATTACCGGAGAGATCGGGAGCCGCGCGGAGGGGGCGGGCCGGCGATGGGCGGCAGGGGGCGCCATCCCTACAACGATGTCGGGCCGCCAATGGGAGCGCAAGGCAGCCCAGCAGCGGTTCCGGCTGCTCACCATCCCTACCCGGGGCCGCCGCGGGCCGACCACGACCATCACCGTGCTGGCAGCGGTGCCGGCGGCCGCGGGGGCGGCGGGCGGCCGCGCTCTCCGGTACAAATGGCCGCACGCGGAAGCCCTCGGAGCAGCGGGCACCCGATGAGGCCCCCCGACCGCGGCGGCGAAGCGGTTTTGCCGCCACGCTACGTGCGGGCTTCTCCACCGAGCATCAACCAGACGCTGTGCGAGGCGATCGAGAGGGTTTTTGAGCACAGAGAGAAGATGGCCGGAGCGGGGGTCGGCGTCGGCGGGCGTGTGGCGTCGGCGGCGGTGACGGAGGGGTCGAACACGTCGACGGGTCTGAGGGGAGACGCTGAGATGAACGGTGGGAGGAGGGGGGCAGCCCCCCCCCCCCGTGGTGTCTCGTCGTCGCTGGCGTTGGATGCTAAGAAGGCGACCCTAAGAATTATCGCCATCATGGAGAGCTTCGAAGGACGGCTGAACGATGTCATGCGCGATGCGAGAGCGAGGGCGGAGCTAGACGCGATCTTCCCGGGGATGCACGAGCGAGAGTTCCGTGCCTTGCTGGAGGAGTGCATTGAGCGCTCGCAGGTCAGCAAGAAAGTGTGTTTTTTCGTACGGTAGAAAAGAGAACAGTTTTTTTGCTCTTTTGGTAGATATCCGTTTTTGGAAGTGTCGCATGTCCGTAATTCCCCTTTGTGTTTTGACAAAATTGTGGCGTTTTATTCATTTTGTCTTCTACAGGCATGTTGAAAAGTAAGGCTCTTGCCGAGCTTAGCTTGGTTGACATGTTCATGCTCGAGCAAGGATTAACATGGAACACGGGACTTATGGGCCAAAATGTTGTGTTAACCGTGGCTACCACCGCTCTACCAAGCTTGAGCGATGGGGCCGCAAACGGACATGCTGCGGCAGCCAAGACCCGTGTCCCGAGGTCCCTCCGGCAAAGGAGCGCGTCACGGTTGCAGCATCATGTGCTGCGCAAGACACGTACGGGTGTGTGCCACGTTGATATACGCTTGGCATCGCCTCAATTTGTAAGTGCGTTGCGCCTCAATCAATTTGCAAGGACTGATGTGCGAGCCGTCGCTAATACCAGATACCGCGGTGCCCCCCCCCCCTCCCCCCCCCCC